CATAGGGCCAACACTCCATCATATAATTGCTGGCACCTACTTCCTTAATAGGACACTCAAAGTGCATGAACTAAAACTAGGAATAAATAAATGAGATGCCATCAGACTCCAAAACTTCTTCCCAGTGAAGGAAAGAAATAAGAGTGTGAAGAGAGAGCCTACAGAATGGGAAAGAATCTTGGCCAGCTTCTCATCTGATAAGGGATCAATATTAATACCCAGAATATATACATAACTCAAAACACTTCATACAAAAATATCCCAAAGAACCCAATCAATAAATGAGCAATAGAACTAAACAGAAACTTCTTAACAAAAGAAACACAAATGGCCAGCTATATGAGAAAAGGTTCAATGTCACTAGCCATCAGGGAAATGCAAAATGAAAACAACACTAAAATTTCATCTCACTCCAGAATGGCAATGATCAAGAATACACACAACAAAAAATGCAGGCAAGGTTGTGGAAGAAAAGGTACACTTGTACATTGTTAGTGGGACTGCAGACTAGTACAACTCCAGAAAGCAGTATCGAGATTCATCAAAAAACTAGAGATGTAAGCATCCTATGAGCATCAGCCCATTCCTAGGTATTTTGCCAAAACTTCTAAAATCAGCATACTACAGTGACAGCTACCTCAATGTTTATAGCAGCACATTTCACAATGGCTAAATTATGGAATCAACCCTAGATCCCCCTCAATAGATAAATAAATTTAAAAATTCTGACATATATATCATATATATGACATGTGTGTGTTTATTTACACACACACACACACACACACACTGGGGTTCTACAAAGCCATAAAAGAGATTGAAATTATGGTGTTTGCAGGTAAATGGATAGAAATGAGAATATCATGCTACGTGAAATAAGCCAAACACAAAACGCAAAGCTTGAATGTTTATTCTCATGCAGAAACTAGAGTAAAACAAAGGAAATTGGGAGGGCAGTGAATGTGTTCCTAGTCCCTTCATGGTCGACAGTCACTCGGCTACCTTGTTGCGGGGTGGGGGTGGGGGGTAGAGACGCGGAATCAACACACAGACTCTGGGAGCTGGTGAGAGAACTGGCTGGAGACCCACCTCAGGTCATTGTCCAGTAGCTCAGTTTATTTTTGGAATGCACACAACTATTATAGGGTTTGAGTGGGGCATGCCTATCAATCATACATAAGCCAGACAACATCCATAAGCCAATCATCTTCTGCCTTACGTAACCACACTGTGAGGAAACTCTAAATATTGCTGTCATGGCAGAAAGCTATCTAGAAGGGTCTTTAGCCCTTACTGAGTCAGGGGTTTCATGCTCTGAAGCCCCTGACTCTCAGTTTCCTGGCGGGGCAGTTTGGCAATGCTAACCACAAGTGCTGAGGATGTGGTTTCACCCCATCCTGCAGGCGCTTCTGTCAGGCCTGAAGGAAGGTGGATATTTCAGGCACTTCCGAGCTGCTAGTAGCTGCTAGCTGAGGCTGAAAGTTATTCCAATAGGGCATGATAGAATATCATCCAGATAAAGGAAAGAGCAGTATTAGAGAAGACCGAGAGACAGAGTGCAGGAATGGGTAAGGGGAGGCAATGCAGAGTGATTTTTTTTTTTTCATTCTAAATGGACACAATATATTTATTTTTACCTGGTGCTGAGGATCAAATCTAGGGACTCAGGCATGTGAGGAAAGCACTCTCCACTGAGCTACAACCCCAGCCCCAGAATGAACTCTTAAAAAGTTGTTATGTGCACATATAAATATGCCACAGGGAACTCCATCTTTATGCTTAGGTAGGAAGAACCAATCAAATACAAATTAATAGATGAACAAAAGGAAGTCTAGTGGAGTAGATGAAGGAGAATTGGGAGAGGTCAGGGAGGATGGGAAGGAAAAGAGAGGGAAACGGGTGAATCATGAACTGAAGTCAAATTGCATGCATTTTGTCCAAATAAACCCACTACTATGTAATGCTGCACCCCTTCCCTGACACAGGAAATGACAAGGCCTTCCTGAGGTGGATGGCGCAAGGCGACTGACCTCTGGGGCAGCAGAGCATGTTTCTGGGAATTGAATGTTTTTTGTTTGGCTTTATTGTAATTGGAATATTACTCACCTCTCATATGACCATTGAGTCTATGGGAATTAACATTACTCTCCAGGTAAACATAACAATCCTGGAAAATAGGTCAGCTTGCAACAACTGCAATAATGTAGCCAATTCTCATAAATAGTTAAGTATTATAGCAAAACTCCTTAAGGAAAAAACAGTTAAGAAAGTTTATGAAAACCTTGTCAAAGTTAATCTAAATAAGCCTCAAGTAACTACTCCTGAAAGTCCAAAGGTCCTTCCTGCTAAAGTAGGTCATAAGGAAAAGAATAATAAAAAATATAGGCCTATGTCAACAGTCATGGGGCCCTATGGGCCAGCCTACATGATTGGAGGTAGATTTTGGTATCCCCCTCGTAGACCCGGACCAGAGTCAACTCCCACCTTGCCCCCTTGGTCCTGGACAGGAAAATATGATCCCAATATAGGGTTGATAGTAAATGTTAATAATAAATGGGTACGCTATAGAGATTTAAGTAACTGGGAACAAATCAGACATAGGGGGACCCCTTGATGCTTAAAAATTAGAGAGGAAAAGTTAATCATTAGATAACAAATAAGTAGATGGTATTGGATTCAGGTACCAGCTAGCAGGACTGAATGGTATGATTCTTTGCCATTAGAGTGATTAAAAATAGTAGCCAAACCTTTCAAGTTAACCACTTGCTATAACTGTGGCACCAGTCCAGGTTTGAAATACGATAAATCAGCTTGAGGGTAGAGTAAATGTCTGGGTCATGGTTAAATACTATTAAGCTAAGTGGAACAGCTTAAGACAAAACACGAAATGAAAGTTAAAAGTGCTTATTGCTGCTTAGGATTAATGATTATTTTTGTCTGATTAGGCTTACTCAAAAATGAAACTGTACTTCCTTGAATAACAATTTCTGTGCTTCCTGCCTTGTAACCACAAAGTATTGTAATCATTCCAAAAAGAATAGTATATATGATTCAAGACATAAGATTCAGATTCAGCACCTTCACTTTTGTGTCTGTGTTTTTCCGCTGTTCCTCGCCAACTCCTTGTTATCCAATCAAGGAAGTCCTCCGAGACACCATGCTGAGGCTGGCCCCCGGCAATGTATGACTATAGAGTTCTAATTTTAAAAAAGAAATATATGTAAGAAAATCATTGTAAAATCAAAAAAATGCAAAAAAAAATTCTATGGAAGTTTGGCTGTAAGTGGGAGACACATACTATCCTGGAGCCAGTTTTCCCCCCAATTTTATTTATAGTAGGACAGGTTTTATGATATTTTTATATTTCACATGCTCCAATTGGCAAATGGGGCATTGAGACATGAATAGACAAGCTGGGGTTTATAGGGACTAAAGACCAAATCAGGTGCTTTCTTCTTAGGTAGTCTTCCTTCTACCTCACTAGGCTGTCTCAGTATCACAAACCTTGCCACACTCTCTAGAGTGGCTTCCCTTTCCTTCACCTAGGGGGACCTCAGTGTGTGACAAAAGGAAACCAGGGCTGTGGGACAGTGCTAGGTGGCAGGCACATTCATTCCACATGGTAGACATCCACTTCTGCCCCAGTCTCTTGCCTGCCTCTTCAGATAAGCATGTTTACCAGACTTCTCTGGCTCTCTTCAGTATCCAGTCTCTATCTTGCTTTACTAGTTTTGATTTGAATGTTAACAGAGGCCCACTCCCCAACCTCTTGACACATCATTCCACTTCTATGTCTTCTTCTGTTTTGCTTTTGGCTGCACCAATCCAGTTACCCTCTCCATTCGCCTTTATGGACATATCCTTTATCACTTCTGCTCATGTTTCTTCTCTAAGTCTGAGCCTTCAAGGCTCAGAATTTCAAATTCTCATGCCATAAATTCTTGGGTCATGTTAATCCTTATTTTCTCTAGTTGTGCTAAATACTCATTTTTTTTTTTCAGATAATGACTTCAATTTTCAAATGAAATTGGACAATTTCAGGGACTTTTTATTGTGGCCTTTAAGTAAGAAGCATCTGTGAATTGCTAAGCACAGTACCCATCTGGCAGGAACTGCTAAGCATATATTAGATTGTTGCCTTCCCCTTTTGGAGCTGCCTTGGTGGGTGTGGTGTTGAGTCACATCTTTACTTCCCTCTAAAAAGGCTTCCCTGTCACTGTTTTCCCATGCACCAGCTAAGATGCAGCCCCATGGCTCAGTCTCTACTCTTTCTCTTGTCCCCAGCCCCCAGAGGCCTGAACTGGAACCTGGCTGTGACCCACTCTTCTCTTAGCAGGAACTCCTTTTTTGGGATGCTTTATATTTTGTAAACTTTTGTTTTACAAAATTGAATTGAACCCAAGCCTTCCTGCATGCTAAGCAAGCATTCTGCCACTGAACTGCACCCCAGCCCTTGATCAATATTTTAACATTTATATATATATATATATATATATATATATATATATATATATATAATATGCATGTGATTTTGTGCATATTTAGGTTTCACTACAGCATTGTACTAGACAGCACATAGGGAAAAAAAAGTTGGTTTTTAAAATTGTACCTAACAGGTTTTTAAACTAGAAGTTACATTCATTTGGAATACCTGTCCATCAAACTTTTTTCATTCTAAATAACATAAACATATCAATCTGTTGACTTTTGCTTTTCCATGGGGCATATGTATGCTGATGACATGACAGGGAAGTCCTGGTGCCTTAGATCTTGTGTGGTGAAGGCTAGACTGTGTGTGATTTGGGGTGCAGGGTGTTTGAGGTGTCCTGAACACTGGCTGTCTTTCCTCCCTAGATTCAGTTATTTCCTCTGCAGTTTGGGGTGTTGGTAAGAATTTTCTGCCTCTGGTCCTTCACAGCTCTGCTTTCTTTTCTCCTGGCTCAAATACTGTCATTGTCACTAGGACAAATGGCATAAACATGACATCTAAGAGGCTTGGACACAATGAAGGAAAATTATTAATGCAAATAACTGTCAGTCCTCTATAAGTGTTATGTGAATTTAGAAAATTTTCTGTGTGCAACAAAGCCTTCAGTCCTGTTCATTGACTCTTCTGTGGCTGCCTTTCTTCTCATTTTTCTTCTTGCCACAGTTGTCCTATTGCTCTTTTTGCATCATTGCCCTGTACACATTCTTTTTTTTTTCCTGTACACATTCTTAAATGTGCTGTCTGTGTCCAGCTGATTTGCTTGTCTGTGCCTTTTGTATCCAGAAAACTTTTCACGTTTATGCTATTCTTCCTGAATAGCCCACTTGTCAATGAAGACAAAATTTGTCTTCTGGCAAGTTTGTCATTATGCAATGATGTAAGAAAGTTTATAAAAATAAAGAAACCAAAAGGTCTCTATGGACTTGACCCACTCAGAATTTTTGAAGGCTGCCTTTCTTGATCCTGGGCTCTTTCACTGTCTCTTTGCATTGGTGGGAACTGAGGATATTATCATAAATAACAGGAGATCCTATATTATTGTGGTTTTCTTTTTCAGAGCTGGACTCAGATGATCCTCCAGGAATGAAGAGCTCTGCCAAGCTGGAGGGTGATACTACAGGTGGCTTCTTCACCAACAAGCATGGCTGCCATATCATAGACCACATCAATGACTATACTGCTCTCAGAGAGCAGATTGGGGAGAGCAAACAGCTGGTCCAAAAGATCCTGTCTCTCTTGAGGCCCACATGCAACTTCCTGGGCCTTGAAGCTCAGAGCTCAGAAGTAGTCACACCTGCAGCTCTTAGGTTCACCCTTTCTTTGTGCCCTTTGTTCTTAATTCTACTTCCTTCTCCATTATTTATTTTTGTGGCCTGTATCTTCACTTATTCTAGCCAGGACCTTGCTTTCCTGTCTCCTGATTCATTCTAAGTTCTACTCTGTTGTAGAGGAGGCCAACTAGATATTCTCCCTCAGAGTCACAGAGAAGCCTGTGCAGCATTGCCACCATCAATAAAGCATTTTTTAAGTGTTGATGTCCACATGATGTTGAAATCAGCACCCTAAGACTTTCAGGATTTACAAAGTTCAACATATCCCAGATCTCCTCATGCTGAAGTGAGAGGGAGTAGCACTAGTGATGATTTTCCATTGCTGTGGTAACAACTTTCCACAAACATCATGGCTGAGAACACATCCAATTATGTTAGAATTGTAGGTTAGGAGTCCCCCAGGGGTCCCACTGGTCTAAAATCACTGGGGGATACAATCATTGTATCACCCAGTGGAGGACCTCAGGCACATCCTGCTTCCTTGCTTTTTCTGGCTCTAGAAACCCCTCACTTCTTGGCTGGAGGCTGCTTCCTCCACCTTCAAAACCAGCAACAGCTGGCAGAGTGCCTGATCCATCACCAGACTTCTTTGTCTCTTCTTTCATTTTAAAGACCCATGGGATTACTTGGATTGTGTAGATGATCCTGTGCCATCCAGGATGGTCTCCCCTTCTCAGAATCTTTAACATAATACCATCTGCAAAGTCACTTGCAAGATAATGAGGCATGTTTATTATCATGGGAAAAGGATCTCCTGGGAATGACATTATTCTGCCTGCCACATACTCTTAATTCATGTGCAAAATGACATTGGAATTAAAAACAAAAATAAAAATAATCTTTAACTTAAGCCAAGTTAGTAAAATTAAGACACTACCTTAAAGCATAGTCTTCAAAAGCAACTCAATATTAACTTCAAATTTAGGCCCTAGAAATTCTCCAGTGATGACTTCAGGATTCCCAAGTATCAGATTTATTTTATATGTGGCCCTTATTTTCTGAAAGGCTGGCTTTGAATGCAGAAATCTCATCTGAGGCAAAGAGCACACAGTGAAAGGGGGAGGTAGAGGAAGATTTGGTGTACCTGGAAGCCTGCAGACTTTTGCTCAGTACACAGAGAAGTCTAATTGGAGTGCTTGGATAGCTTTCTTTGAGTCTGCCTTGGTCTGTCTTCTCTGCAGTCTATATCATTCTCATAACTGTCTTAATATCTCCACAAATACAAACAGAAAAATTATAACAATTTGATTTATGCAAATTATATTTCCCAAATAAGTTTGATTAATGTGTACAATAATTAAGAGATGTTACAGTACTATTTACCCAATAGTATGTCTTACTGTTACATAAATCCCTTAGTCAAGTGGAAAACTGTGATACCTTTGAGATAATGACATGATTCAATACATGACAGTGTTAACATATTAACATTCACTTATATTTATTAATATGTTGCATGCATAATATGAATATAGGTAAAAAGACACTGTAAACTGGGCAAGGTGGCCCATGCCTGTAATCCATGCAAATTGGCAAGCTGAGGAAAAACTTTCACAAGTTCAAAGTCAGCCTTAGCAACTTAGTGAGATTTTAGGCAACTTAGCAGACCTTGCCTCAAAATTTAAAAGAGTCGGGGAAGGGAGGGGTGTGTGTGTGTGTGTGACTGAGAATGTGGCTCAGTGGTTAAGCATCCTTAAATTTAACCCACAGTACAAGAAATGAAGTTTAAAAATTAAAATTTTTAAAAATATATTTCTTATAATTTTCTCCAACATTCAAAAGTGCAAATATTCAGTAATCGTTGATTTATAAGAAATGCATATCCTTTCAAAGATGAGCTATCTGCACTCTGGATGTATAATATCTACAATGATTTTGTTATCTCTCCATATCTCCTAATAATATTTAATAAATTTTAATAAAAAATTAAAGCCAGTTGCTCATTTTCTATATTTAAATTATTTTCTCTTTTACTGACCCTCAAGTACATCAAGTTATGAGGTATGGATAAGGACTTTAGTATACTTCCTTTATATTTGTCAAGGTTTTTATTGTAAATATTTCACTATTAAATATGACACATATTTTGGAAAATGCTGTTTAACCTTCACTACAGGAATAAGGTTTCAGATGTTTAATAAATTTGAAATTGAAATAAGGGATTGGAAACATTATTTAACTTTTTAAGGTTGCTGAGGATTATGAATTCTCCAAAGTTCAATAATGTTTGAGCAATGTCTATGAGTTTTGAAACAAATTTTTCCACTTGACCCTCTCCTACTAGTATGTTTTCTAGGTGTTGAGTAAGGGGTGACCTATTGTGGGAGACATTTTCACATTGTAACAGTTTTTTCATTTGAATAATTTTTCTTTGCTATAATAATTTGTAGAAGTTGTCTCCAATATGAATTCTCTGATGTCTAGTAAGGTTTGATGGATGATTAAAAGCTTAGCCATATTCTTTGCATTTCTAAGTCTTCTCTCCAGTATGAACTCTGCTGTGCTTAATAAGGCTTGATTTTTGACTATAAACTTTGTCACATCCTTCACATTTGTAGGGCTTCTCTCCAGTATGAATATTTCTGTGGCAACTAAGGGCTGATTTTTGAATATAACCTTTGCCACATTCTTCACATTCATAGGGCTTCTCTCCAGTATGAAGTCTGCTGTGGTAAATAAGGCTAGTTTTTCGATTAAAAGCTTTGCCACATACTTTGCATTGGTAGGGTTTCTCTCCAGTATGGATTCTCTGATGGCGAACAAGGCCTGATTTTTTGCTAAAACCTTTGTCACATTCTGTACATTTGTAGAGCTGCTCTCCAGTATGAAGTCTGCTGTGGCAAACAAGGCTTGATTTTTCATTAAAAGCTTTGTCACATTCTGTACATTTGTAGGGCTTCTCTCCAGTATGAATCCTCTGGTGGGGAATAAGGTATGCTTTTTTGATAAAAGCTTTGCCACATTCTTTACATTTGTAGGGATTCTCACCAGTATGAATTCTGCTATGGTAAGAAAGGTATGATTTTTCATTAAAAGCTTTGTCACATTCTTTACATTTGTAGGGCTTCTCTCCAGTATGAAGTCTGCTGTGGCGAATAAGGCTACTTTTTTGATTAAAAGCTTTGCCACATATTTTGCATTGGTAGGGCTTCTCTCTAGTATGGGTTCTCTGGTGGTTAATAAGTCTTGATTTTTTACGAAAAGCTTTGCCACATTCTTTACATTTGTAGGGCTTCTCTCCAGTATGAATTTTTCTGTGGTAATTAAGGGCTGATATTTTAGTATAAACTTTGCCACATTCTTCACATTTGTAGGGCTTCTCTCCAGTATGAACTCTGCTGTGGCAAATAAGGCTACTCTTATAATTAAAAGCTTTGCCACATACTTTGCATTGATGGGGCTTCTCTCTAGTATGGGTTCTCTCGTGGCTAAAACGTCTTGATTTTTTACTAAAAGCTTTGTCACATCCTGTACATTTGTAGGGCTTCTCACCAGTATGATTTCTGCTGTGATAAATAATGTGCTTTTTTTTAATGAAAGATTTGCCACATTCTGTACATTTGTACGGCTTCTCTCCTGTATGAATTCTCTGGTGGTGAATAAGCTGTGTTTTTTTAATGAAATCTTTGCCACATTCTTTACTTTGGTTGGGCTTCTCTCCAGTATAAATTCTCTGATGGCAAATAAGGTGAGATTTTTCATTAAAAGCTTTGTCACATTCTCTAAATTTGCAGGGATTCTCTCTAATACGAATTCTATGGTGGTGAATAAGGACTGACTTTTGATAATATAATTTATGATGTTCATTCTCACTTACAATTTTCCATATTTTTCTTTGTTGTGAATAGTCAAGTTCATAATTTCCATATTTTCCATTTATCACTTTTTGAAGTATATGTTTTATGCCCTGGTCTTGTGAAAATTCTTGGATATGATGAGAAGCCATGCCTGAAATAAACCAACATAAAAATTATTTTACTTACTAGGCTGAAATGAATATATTTTCATAGTAAGATATGAAATTATCACCATGTCAAGAAATCAGTGAGGTAGCAGATTAGTAAATCCAAGGTCATCATTATCCCAGAAATATATAAGTTAAAAATGTACAGACAAAATTACCTTGTGAAAATTACTGAAACTATTGTAGAGATCACAGTATCCAAGAGAAGTATATTACTAAGGATAATAATAGAGAGAAGAAAATATGTAACTTTTCCCCAATACAGCCATTGCTCCTCCACAATATAGCATTGTGGATTTAGAAAAAAACTTCACCAGCTACTTTCATTCTCAGTAGAATAGGGGAAATATAAAAGATACACACAAGCATTTAGGGCTTTCTTGAAGTATTTGAAAACTGCTTTCTGTCTACCATGACACAGAGACCTGGAATTAACAGACAGATTTTGGATGATAATACCACAGTTATTTAACAAGAGTAAAGAGACTCTGGACTCTTTTAATAAGAAAAATACACACATATGTCTAGAAAAATTCTTCATGAAAATGAGTTTGGAAGGGAATAAAAACCTTACAGAGCCTACATCCATATTATCTGGATAAAGCCAACATGACCTTCAAGACTAATAAATTGTTTTTTACATTTTTAAATTTGTATTATTTGATGATTTGTTTCATTGAAAAATTCAACTTTGTGTATTTACTAAGTATATCATGGTATTTTAAAGTATATATACAAAGTGAAATGACTAAATGAAGTGAACCAATACATGCATTATTTCATATATTTATCAGTTTTGTGCTTACAAAGTATTGCATTCATTCTATTAGTATTTACCAAGAACATAATATACTACACTCACCATGTGATACAAAAATACTCTTGACCTTCTTATGCCCATTCAAATAAAAATTTGTAAACTTTGACTAACAATATTGCTGAGAGCCACAGCCTAGTTGGAATGAGTTGGAAAGAAGCATGACATTTTTGCCAGAAGGGAGTGGTTGAGAGGTGATACCAGTGAGCCATTGAGATGATGATGGTTATGTTAAGCTGTGTATTCAATTGTATATTAGACCCTTGCTGTCCTCTTCAGGTGGAGTTCTCAAGGGGATTCCTGGGGATTCCTGGGGAGTTCGCATTGGTTGGGGAAGTTCCAGAGGAGGGATTTCCGGTTGGTGGTGTTCCTGGAAGGGCTGAGTGGGTGGCATTCGTGGGAGTTCAGGCAATAAAGGAGTTCCTGTTTGAACCTACAAGTGCCTCGAGGCGGCTCAGTTATTTTGTGCCCAGCCAGACTGCGGCATATGGTGGCCCATGCAGGGAACACCTGAGGGTAAGTGATAAGGTAAACTGCTCGATTCTGGGGGCAGTGCGAGAGGATGGATAACCATTTAAAGATTCTTCTTTTGTTTTGTTTCACTTTTGTTTTAAGTTGCCAGTCCCTGGAGATGGGAGGGATGGAAGAAAAACAGCTCATATCTGAGGAAAAACTATTTGCATCTGAAGAACAGATGGGGAGAAAGGACGGATGGACATTTCAGGAGGATAGAAAGGCTGATATAATGAATTTTTGTTCCATTTTTGTTTCATTTTGTCTCAGTTTTGTTTTAGATTATCTTAATGAGGGGTATCTTCGTCATGGAAATATGAAAGTAAAAATTAATAAGAACCAAACCGAAAGGGCGTTATAAAGTGCTAGAGGAAGGAGGCATCTCAGTAAAATCAAGAACAGTTAGGGCATATGTTAACATGATACAAAGGTGTAGCCCATGGTTCATTAAAGAGGGGTTGTTAAATATATCACAATGGAACCATCATGGTGAAGATTTTAAGATACAAAAGGAAAGCCCAGGAACTCTGCCAGTTGGCATATTACCATATGGACGTTGTTATAATCTTCTTTGCTTAGTCTAGGAGAAGACATTTTAAATCAAGTAAAAGAGGAAGACTCTCGAGTTAGTCAGAGGAAAAAAGTTTAGAGAAGAAGGGGCTATCAGGAGAGAAATTACAATGGGAGGTTGTTACTAACACCTTTCTATCACCAGAGGGTGTAAGTGTCTAACCAACAGCTCCGCCTATAGAGACAATGTATGCTGAGTGGCCATCAACCCGCGTAGTTGATAGATGGGATCCTGAGACACAACCTCAAAGATTAGCATGCCCTGTATTTGAGGTGGCAGGAGGGCAGTGAAATCACCATGTTTTAGATTCCAAAACAGTGAAGCAGCTAAAAGAGGCTGTAACAACCTATGGTCCTCAAGCACCCTTCACTGTAAGCATGGTCGAATCCATTAACAACTTGAACATGACGCCAGCAGATTGGACTAGTATGTGTAAAGCTGTGCTAAATGGAGGACAATACCTGTTATGGAAGGTTGCCAATGAGGAATTTTGCAAGGAGACGGCTAGGCGAAATGCAGCAGCTGGTTATCCTCAGAGAAATCTAGATATGTTGTTAGGAAAAGGACCTTATGAGGGTCAGCAGCAACAAACTGCATATGATCCTGCTATATACTCGCAAATTGCTACAGATGCGGTTAGAGCATGGAAGACTTTACAAGGACATGGAGATTTACAAGGTCAGTTATCTAAGGTAATACAAGGAGCTAATGAACCTTGTGCTGAATTTGTAGATAGGCTTATTCAAACAGCTACCAGAGTTTTTGGGGACACAGAACAAGCAATGCCATTAATTAAACAGCTAGCCTTTGAGCAAGCAAATTGATGGTGCAAGGAGGCCATTAGACCATGGAAAAATGAAGATTTAAACACATATATTAAATTATATAGAGACATTAATGAACAAGGGCAAGCCTTGGCAGCTGCAGTAAAACAGGCTTTAGATGCCAGGCCAAAAACATGCTACAATTGTGAACAAACAGGACATTTTAAAAGGAATTGTCACATAGGAGGAGAGTTTAACAAAACTAGGTATCAAAGGGATAGAATACCGGGTATTTGCCCACGATGTTGTAGAGGGAGATATTGGGCTAATGAATGCTGTTCCCAAACCACCATAGAGGGTACTCAATTATCAAAAAACAGGGGTTTACCCACAATACCATGGAGAAAAGCATCGGGCTCCATTACCAAAAAACGGACAGGGGGGCCCAATGCTCCGGGGCCCACAACCACAAATATACGGGGCAATGGAGGAACTCAGCAACACCATCAGCGTAGTGCCCAGGACACATTATCCATTAGATCCCTCATCAGACAAACCAGAGGGAGCGCAGGGTTGGACACCTGCACCTCTGCCAGAGCAGTACTAACTCCAGAGATGGGAGTTCAAATCATTCCCACAGAGGTAAAAGGACCTCTTCCCCAAGGAACAGTAGGCTTATTATTGGGACACAGTTCTTCTACTCTAAAAGGACTTATGATAAAAATTATAGCCAGTTCTCCAAGGGGTATATCAGTAATTTCACCAGGAGATAGAATACCACAGTTACTAATAATACCCAGACTACATGATAAATTTTCCAGCCATACTATAGGAAAGAGGTTCCAGGTGATTAGGCTCCACAGGTGTAGATTGGGCTATGCTTTCTTTAAATTTAGATTCTCACCCCATGCTAAAACTAAATATTCAAGGATATGAATTTAATGGGCTGCTGGATACAGGTGTAGACCTTAGCATCATCTCTCGTCAAGAATGGCCAAAATTTGGCCACAACCGGCCACTTAAATGCTTCGAGGCCTCAGAGTGGCAAATAATCCCCATAGAAGTACAATGGTATTAGATTGGAAGGATCCTGAAGGATGTGAAGGAACTATACAGCCATATGTACTGGATCATCTTCCTATAAATTTATGGGGACGAGATGTCCTAGATCAATTAGGTTTGACATTAACAAATAACATCAATCCAAATGCGCCCACTATTATGGCTAGACAAGGTTTTAGGAAAGGAAAAAGATTAGGAGAACAAGAACAAGGTATAGCAGCACCAATACAAATAAATCAAGGAACAGACAGACATGGATTGGGTTTTCAGGAGCGGTCATTGAGACAATAAAAATTACTTGGAAATCAGAAAGGCCAGTATGGGTTCCTCAATGGCCCCTGTCTAAAGAAAAGACACAAGCAGCCCATGACCTGGTCAAACAACAATTAGCGGAGGGACATATACAACCTTCTGTATCTCCCCATAATACTCCCATTTTTGTCATCAAAAAGAAATCTGGTAAATGGAGATTATTGCAAGATTTAAGAGCCACTAATAATGAGATGTTTATGGGACCTGCTCAATCAGGGATTCCCCAATTGTCTGCTTTGCCAAAAACCTGGTATGTTTTAGTTATAGATATTAAAGATTGTTTTTTTTTTTCAATTCCAATTCATCCTGAGGATAGTCCACATTTTGCATTTACTATCCCTGCACTGAATCATGAAGGTCCTGATCAGAGATATGAATGGAAAGTACTCCCTCAAGGGATGGCTAACAGCCCAACTATGTGTCAAATTTATGTTAACAAAGCAATCCAGCCACTTAGAAATCAAAATCCTGAACTACAAATATTTCACTATATGGATGATGTATTATTAGCACACAAAGATAAGAACACATTGCTATAATGTTATGCCACACTTACAAACTTATTAAAAAATTATAATCTAGAGATAGCAATAGATAAAGTACAATTAAATTTTCCAATTAATTATTTAGGAGTTCTATTATCCTCAACCATGGTCCGTCCACCAAAAATTCAAATACGAGTAGATCAACTCAAATCACTTAACGACTTTCAAAAGTTATTAGGAGACATAAATTGGATAAGGCCTTATCTAGGTATACCAACAGGAGAGTTGGGACCTTTATTTGATATCCTAAAAGGTCTATCAGATCCAAATTCACCCTGAATGTTAACGCCTGAAGCAAGAAAGGCATTAAAAATCATTGAAACATATATGGAAAATATGCATTTGGATAGAATTGATATAACTTTGCCTTTATTATTTATTGCTACCAACAAAAAATATT